AAAATGTGATAATACGGTAAATACGGCAAACATGGCTAAATCATCCCTCTCCAACCTGTTCCTGTGTACAAAATTCAACAACAAATTGAAGATGGTCGTTCAAGATTACGCGCGACCACCTTCATAAAATTCCACCTCACCAAACCACATCTTTAACTCCAATGTTCCGCACCCAAATTCAGTACAATGATGGCTCTTTCTGGTTTTACCATACGTCTCGCCTCGTAACATCCTGCATTTTGTCTATCCCATCTTTTCGCACTGCAACCTAAATGCCCCACACTCCTTTATGCATTGTCACACACCTCACTGTAGTTCCGTTGCCTCTGGATGATTCAAAGTTACCGATACTTTTCTTTTGTTTGTTCGTTTTTTTTTTTCAAGAATCACAGCTTGTGGCAGTTCAATGGGTCCTGATTAGCTACATTGCCTACTTATTTCATTGGTACACAGCTTAGAAAGTTCTGTGAAATGAAACTTTCCGCTGTCCCCACCCGTTGAATATTGCTGCTAAGATAAGGGGCCATAAACAGCCTATAGTACGTAATTTTGCGGGTCCATAGGACATGCGCGTATTCCTGGATATTTCAATAATTGACTGTTTACTCAGTTGTTATAAGGTTTCTTTGTTTTGTTTTGTTTTAATTTTTCTCTAATTTACAATTATATAACAAAAAACAAATAGACAAGATATATTAAAAGCAATAAAAAGGAAAATGTTGTTATTTTTGTCATTAAAAAAAAAATAGGCCTACATTTTGTTCTCTTACTTCCAATCTTACTTTCTCTTTCTCATATTTAAACATTCAAAAACTAAAAGTTATAAGGTTTGACACGCAAGAAAGGTTCGTATGCGTACTTTGAAGTTGGCGAAGCCAATGTAGTGTGTTTAGGCCTATCTAACAGTGTGATTATCCTTATCTAACTACAACATACCTTTGTCGGACCGGAGTTCATCAACTGTTTTGTCTCGCTTGGTTGTGGTTGTAATGGCGTTGTGGTATCATGTGTGGTAGGCCTATTTAGTGAATACGTAGCAATAACAATTATATAATTTGCTTCCAAAACTTTTACAAATGGTCTGCTTTTACTCTTTTTGTATGCAATGGAATCAAAATTACAGATCAACTCTGTGCCATTGTCAGAACGCTGGACATCGCGCACCTCTATGACGTCACCAGTAACATTATATTTGTCAGATGTTCCGTTGAATGCAACATTCCAGTGAACAGGGCCAATTTTTGAATTGGCAATTGAAGTAGACCCACATTTGAAAAGAGCATTTGAGTGTAGAGGTAATATCGCTGGACTGTCGGTAATGATTTCAGCATAGGGATATTCCCAAACAAACTTTCCTTTAGATGATGAAGTAACGTTACCAAGCCATATTTCTTTCAGAAGAATTGGCAGTTTCTGTCGCCTTTTTATATCATACCGGTACCAGCACCAGCACCTATAAATACCACGATCACTGCTTTTCGCATATTCAATCTGGAGGCTATTTTGGCCGTGGCGTGCTACTACAGTGATTCTCTTATGAAATGAAGCCGTATTAATACTAATAGTTTTAGGCCTGTCTTCTAAATTTTGACGATAGTCCCACGTAGCCAACAAGGACACACATTCACCCTCTACTGTGAACACGTGGGTTCCTCCAATATCAACATCGACGACGTGGTAAATGGAATTCGATTGACCAGTTGCATTCACAATTAACGTGATACAAATCATGAGATAAATTATCTGCATTATTTCTGATGTTCATATATTATCGACAGCAAAATTTTAACTGGAAATAAAATAGCCTGTTCAAAGGAATCCAACACGATAGCAAATGAAACGTAGTTAAGTGCTTCTAAAGTTTTTGTTGCTTAAAATAGATTAAAGTTTCGTATTAAAACTAAGAGAAAGTGCATTGTTGTCGCCACACGGAACTAGATACAGGATGTGATATATCCATACGAAATAAACGTTATAATTCCATGGCATGGAGGATCAACTATAATATGGTGATGAATGTTTAATTAATGAGAATGTACAATACTGTATAGACCTACTACAGCTGGATACAAAAATGCCCACGCGGGAAATGCGCTCTACAAAGTGCAGCCGCGCCGATGGGATACTGTAACTCGTGGCATCAAATCAAGGGTCCTAGGCTCATACTAAAGCAAATACACTCTCTTTAAGACATAGGCCTAGATAGAAACTATGAACGACATTATTTTTTGTACGTATGATTGAACGAGGATATTAAGATTAAAATTTCAATTTTATTGATTTAAGCTTCGTAATGACAATATTCCAAAGTTTGCGTTTCGGTCAAACTTGGCACTGAGTCAAACAATTTGGCCTACATTTTTTTTAGCTGTACAAAAAAATATATATAAAAAAGAAAAAGAAAAAGAGGTATGTAAAGGCCTGGTGTGTGTATTAATGTCGCATGTGGATGATTCGTTCTGTCAACGATAGCCACCTAATTTTTGCATATGTTCCGATGAATATTCTCTGTTTATTGTATTTTTCATTTCGTACATTGTCATTTAAAGAATATATCAGATTAAATTTGAATGTCTGTATATTGCAAGAGATGGACCAAGCTATAATGATAATAAAACACTAACATGATTAGTTATTAATAAAAAAAAAACCATGAAGACAATAGCACTGCTTAGAGATAATATTGAAGGACTAGTTTACATAATGTTTTGAAACTTGTTTTCACATTTTGTTGCTTACATTGGCACTGTTTCAGTATGAAACTAGAAGGTATGTTAGGATTCAGTGTAAAATATAAAATGAGTCGATTGTAAACATAAGCAACGAAAGGTGGCGGGGGGGGGGGTGATCCAAGAAAATTAGGCTTCAGTATAGTAGTACTCAAAAATAATAGGCCTATTTTTATTTTTAGATTTTTAAATGTAAATAAACTGGAATAACAGAAGTTAAAAGACTGAATGCTGTCCCGCTTTCGATGACACTTTATTATGACTTGTTTTGTTTGTTTAAAATATGAACTTGGTTTCTACGGTGCAATCTTTCACCACCAAGAGTGAGGGACGAATGCCTACCGTATACAGTATATCACTTCATTAATCCAGTGTTTTATTTACTTTATTAATTATTCATAAAATAAAATATAACACTTTGTGGCAAAGGGCCTAATTGCCTGTTAAACACAATCAATTACATAAAAAAAAACCAATTACATAAAAAAACCATTAAAATCTATTTTAATTGTGTAAGAATCAATGCATAAAAACAACACATGGAGACAAGAAAAAAGAAAAAATCAAGGACAAATCATAGAAATGCTAAATAAAATGCTAAACACTCTCATGATCAAATGATTGATTGATTGATTGATTGATCGATTACTTAATTGATCGAGTGGGGTCGGGGCGCACCTCACTGCGCCAAGAAGATGGCTGGTTTAGCTGAATATAAGAGGGGATGGTTTATACAAGATTATCATCATCATCATCATCATCATCATCATCCATTACATAATGTAATGCGATTATAAATTTATATAGCACTTTATACCGAAACGGTCCTAAATTTGTGAAGACTAGCTTTTGCAGCATTAACGTACTTCTCCTTTAGGGGTCTCTTCGTGTCCGAGCACATGTTACCGGTACCGAAACCAGTACTTTCGTCAGAATGAACCAGTACCGTACACCATGGTAACCCCTACTCGTCTCGAAAGACGTAGGCCTACTGGGTTTTTTAAAGTACAGACTTAAAGTGTCAAGTTGTTGACATCGGGCCTTCCCGGCCTACGGTTTATAGTGCTTATCCGAGAAGATTTGTTCCACCACCAGTTCGAACCAGCGCCGATATCATGACTGTTGCGGCGTTCCTTCAAGCCCCTGTAAACCCCTCGTTACGGAAGCTTAAAGTGACCTTTCGAGTTTCGAGGATAATTATCTTGGAAACTCGGAAGGTCACTTCCTCACCTTGGTGGGTATTCATTGTATATTGTGTACGAATGTCTGTCCATGATCAAAGATTCATTTTCCTACTTGATTGACAGGGAGAAATATATAATTTCATATTGTTTGGTGATGAATGAAGATCCTGTTGGTCTATTGTCACGTAACAAAGTTTCTTTCATTAACAAATTATTTTCATATCTTATTCAAACATTTGACACAGCATAGTGGGAAAACAGATACATTATCAACAACCAATGAACACCGTCTGCCTAATCATTATTTTATTCTGTTTTGTGTTAAACCAGGAAAAAAAACATTCAAAACTTGACGTTTTGTGTATTAATAATTCGCATTTTTAACATTACTACACAGTACTTTAGATTGTAGACCAAGGAGATATTACCTCCTTGGTGAAACACGTCACTAGGTTTTCGATTGCTATTTCCGGGTTTAAAATAAAAAGAAAAAAAATCAGTTACAGTAATTATCAGGAAACCAAATAAATTCAAAAGATGTATTTTAACAAAATGTATTAGAAATAAAAATAATAAAGTATTTAACGAATATCAAACCAACCTATGTTTAAAATGTGGAATTCTCAAACCTGTGTAGCGCATTGCGTTGTAGTTTATATCATGTATCTGAATAATAACAATACTTATATATGTGTATATATATTTGTATATATATATATATGTGTAAATATATACATATATATGTGTATATATATGTATATATGAATATATGTATAGGTCCTATGATGGAAAATACCTAAGAACATTTAATTACACGTCAAGAAAGTAATCAAATCTAGGCTACAAACTCAACATTTTACTTCGCACTACAGACTTATTAATCAGATACATGATATACTGAGAAAGAACACAGGCCGTGTTGATTGTGATTTAATCAATCTTATTGCTTCACATGTCCACATCTTAAAGCTGTATTTTATTGCTCTGTTTTTACTTTTATTTTTCGAAGCAAACATGGAAGCTTAATGTTTAATATATAAGTATATATATATATATATTCTAGATGTGTATAAGAGACAGATATTATTCAGGCCTATGTTGTAATAGATAAATTTATTCGTATTATTCGTTAACTAATTAATAAATATTTTCAATTTGTATTGTTATGCATTAGAAGTTTTAAATATACTATAGCTCTAAACAATAGTAAACTTATTTTAATGGAATTTGTTTTGTCACAATCAGGAAAATACGGACCAAACCATTACAGAAAACAGCCACTTTAAATAATACTGTATTATTATGACGTGCAAGATTCAAGGTGTAAGTTAATAGCGCCCTCCTTATGCAGCTTTGTCAAATAGGCGAACTCGTCGGGAAGACGATGTACCTTCATGTAGCCAAAGTCGTAATTTTCTGCCGTCCTGTTCATTGAGTGGTCGTAATGGTATGGAATCTGTTTACCGCGAAATTCAGGGAATGGGTAAAAACCGAAGAGATGGACTTCTTCACACAGTAGACTAGAAATCATATACATAAGCAATCCAGTGCTGATTCTCTCTTCATCGATGCTTTTTGAATACCAAAAACTAGAAAAATAAAAATAACACACACTGTAGTTTCTAAATGCACTAACGAATGAATGCCCACATTTATCATTCCAGTAAGAGATAAATAATAGTCAAAAAAGGTGGAATTTCACTATATTTAAAGTAAATTTCCTTATTTTTTTCAGAACAAAAGAATTAGTCTGTGAATTTTCATTTAACTCGAGAAGGATTGGAATTGGGGTGAAAATGAACGATATAATCACAGAGTAAAAAATGTTTTATTAATAGTTAGCTTTTTATTGAAAATGAATTAAGTCTTTTTATGGGCATTTATATTACTGTTTCACAAATATGAACCTATGTTTAAGTGTCTTACCTAATTAAAAAATCATTATAACTTTTTCAAAATAAAATGAATATATAACATATACAATTTTGAAGTAGACATTATTAGAAAGTCTAGAAATGAATTAGGTTTTAAAATATGTTTACTTACTCTTCAATGGCGGGAAGAACGTTGCCAGGAAATGCAAGCTGTACATTGGTTAAATCACCTTTATTTTTTCCTAAAAAGTCAATTAACGTCCTTATTGTTGAAGACACTGCGTGGTCTGAAAACACGGGAACCCACAACACATATTTTCCATATTCGATTAAGTCTCTTTTAAATTTTGTTTTGTCCTTTTCCAATGAAAGGGAGTTATATTTATTATTTAATATACTTGGATTAAAGGTCACAACGTCAACTTTGGATCCAACATCTGCTTCGTATCCTTTGATTGTCGCGAAATTACACCTGATGACGAAGTCTGATTGGTCGATAGTTCTTCCGCAGCCACTCTGTAGTAGGACGCCGCTGTTACCAACAAGTGAACATTGTTTGTAGTGTTTTTTACGGAAGAGCTGACGTCTGGGAAGCAAGTTGTGCATGCCGCCTGGTACCGTTATAATCGTTTTTGATTTAGCAGAATAAAACCGCGCTAAATGCCCGCTTGTGACGTCATCAGATGTCATTGTTAACACTTTAAATAAGTTGAAATAGGATAACATCTCTCGTCTGAAAAAATAAAAACAAAACAAAACAAAACAGAATGTAGTATTAAAAAAAAGCACTTCAACAACACAGGCATAACCAATAATGTTTCCTTAAACATTTTAAAAAGCATTTTAAAGAATAACATAAGATGGATCGTCATTTCATTTGCGCCCGATGAACACTCGTTTGCCACGACTTTGTTGTAACTTGGTTGTACATTATGTAGAGTGGTGGCTCCAGCCATTTGCCAGAAGGGTGACCATCAAGTACGACATGGGACCCGACGACGATGGATGGGGGATGGCCACTACTTGTAAACACCATGATAATATAATAATAAATAAGTTCTGTCGACTAACCTTTTGACAACTGCTGCGGTTTGATTTGGTTGCCATGGATACGATATAACATCTTCTACATCAGCTTTAACTTCGGCATTAAAAATGGAATCATCTTCGTCGAAATCATCCTCTTGATTTTCTTGTTTCTTTTCTTCAGTGGCTTCACTTACTGGAATTACAGATTTCTCACCAAGCAAAGTTCGGGATCTAAAAAATAGAGTAACAGTTTTTATTCTATTTTATACCGTTCATATAGTCACACAGCCTAATACAAACTTAAGGCCTGTTTACAGTATGACGATAACGATCAACGATAAAAAGCTAAAAGCAATTGTTCATATAGAAAATAAAAGAAATAAAAGAAGTTTTCACACTAGCACGATTCTATAGCGATTTATCGTATATGATAAAAAAATATTATCACAAATCAAATCAAATGCAATCATGGAAAACTATAAAATCGTAGTAGTAAAAACGATCATTAAATATTAGGCCTAATTCCCATATTATTACTTCACCTTTTATCGCTAACAAATCATGGTGTTACCAGGGAACAGTGATATTCATAATCATATTAAACCATCATATTTCACCATTATATTTAACCATTTCAACATTCAAATATTAAACGTAAATATGCATGGACTAATACAGTGATTACAGTATGTGAATGATTATATTAAAAGAAAAATAAGACAAAACGACCTCTATTCATCAAAACTAACTGGGTTTTTTTTTGGTATCCGAGCTTATTAGCTCTGTAAAATTCACTAATTCTGAATTAAAGCTGCCTTGAGTAATGATCACCACCCAGGGTGTCTCTCTGGTATCCGAGCTTACTAGCGGTTAGGATTAATTGGAGTTAGGGTTAATTATTTCTAACCCTAAAATAATAATGTATTAATATTAATAATAATCTAATGACGACGATGATGATAATCATAATAAATATTACCGGGTGATAATAATAATGACAATAACAACAATAATATTTTTAATTAATTTTACTAAAACTATTATAAATAATAATTAATATTAAGTGATAGTGATGAAGATGATGATGATGATGATGATGACGATGAGGAAATTCATAGTTTGAATATAAAGCAGATTTCAATGGCGGATACATGAATTCGAAATAGCTTGGCCTGGGACTTTCATTTATGATAATGACATTAGATAGCCGGAAATGGCACTCTTAGATTTAAATTATTTAATAGGCCTACAATAAATAATATTAATCATATTAATAAAAATATTAGTAACATTATCAATCATAGTTATGTTATAAATAATATTAATCATATGAATAAAAGTAATCAATTAAAAAAAAACTTTTCTACGATAATATTTTTGTTGTTCAACTTACTTGAGTGTGGATATAAATCCCTGTCTCTTATACACATCTAGATGTGTAAAAACAACCTCATCAATTCCTCGCTAATGTACTTTATTAAGTCTATCCATAACACAGAGGTTATCGGAACATCTTTAGAGCAAAAACGGTCAAAATTAGAATATACAAAATTTGCTTTAGGCTTACAAAAAACAATTGGCATAATGAAATATTATTCGATAATATAAGTGATGGGCAAATCTAGCAGTTGAAGACACACATGGTAAAAACATCGTAAATGACAAGTCTTATTTTGCACTTAAATATGCCTTTAACAAGCGAATGTCACGTCTATGCCTAAGTACCGGGGAAACGGTGTGAAATGACTTGTCTAGTGCAAATCCGTTGTGGAGAGCCTTGACCAAGTTTTTAGAGGGAATTACAAACCATTGATATCCACTCTTCGAAAATAATACGGTAATATTATTAAAACGTCACTTGCATGCACACTGTATATATTATGATATAACGCTTCTGCGAACCATGAGCTCATTGAGATAGTAATGCAGCTTATCGATTATATCAGCACATTAATAATGGTTATATACTCAATGTGGCTATTGTTTGTTAGAACATGTTATAAAAAAGCAACAACAGAAACAGCAACAGCAACAACAACATAGGCGATAATAATAATAGAAATAATATTAATAATAATAATAATAGTAAGATAAATAATAATTAATAATAATAATAATTTATTATATTATTATTATCATTATTATGTTATTATTATTTAATAGTAATACTATGTAATGATATCATTATTTAATATACCTATAATAAATAATATTAATCATATTAATAAAAATATTAGTAACATTATCAATCATAGTTATGTTATAAATAATATTAATCATATGAATAAAAGTAATCAATTAAAAAAAAACTTTTCTACGATAATATTTTTGTTGTTCAACTTACTTGAGTGTGGATATAAATCCTGTAGACGTGTCGCCATTCTTCAGATGTCGCTCGAGATTTCCTATCCAAACGTGCATGTAGGTTAACACACAGCACATACACGCAGACATCGTCAGCAGTGCTACAAACCGTTCGTAAGTAGGTCTGCGCATCCTTATAAAAATTTAAATAGAACAACAGAAAGATAGCGCTTTTAGGTTTTCCCTTTCCACTTGTTCACGCTATAAATCCAGTAAATTACAGCCGTCCTGCTCTTCTCTTAAGTACAGTTCATTTCAGCATGGTGTATGAATCCAGTGCTACCTCATTCTGTAATAATAATGATAATATCAGCTACCCAACACTAATCTATACAAAGGGCGTATTGCACATCAATTCAAAATGTTTCATCTGTCTAAACTTAAACTTTTGAAGTGCGAATTACTTTTGTCGTCTGTAATAATGTTCCCATGTATGACGTAATTCGAAGTTGTCCAACCAATCATCTGTGTACCAAATCACCAGAGATGCGTTCGGCAGACAGCCGACTAACAATAGTGTTTTCGATGCTGACCGTACCTATAAACATTTAAAGCACTGACTGAGATTCTATCACGATCCACCCAAGCGTCTATACAGTGTGGATTTGCTGTGATTTACGTTTAACTGGTTTATGACGTCGCAGAGTGTAGCTATAAGATATGATAATAATTCTTCACTTCTCCGCCAATCAGAATGGTTTAAATGTACAAGTAAGAAACCTAATCTGTTAGATATATATTGAAGTAGATTTTTGTATCATAAACTATAGAGAAATATATTATTGTTGCTATTGTATGAACTCGGTCGATGATTTATCATTTTACATGTCTGCCAGGAGTGTAAAAGCGTGTAAAATAATAATTTTGAAAGTATACATAGGCCTATTCATTTAATTCATTCAAATAACTTTATTCAGAATAGCATTTCTATATAACGATTATGTATTGAGGCCAGTTCTCAATACGTGTTCAATTAAGTAAACGTCCACAAAGTAACAAATCTAGATAGAGGCGCATTATATGTGCCGTTTAATTTTTATTATAAGCCTTTAGCAAACACTACGACGGACGAGTTGTAAAATAAGTCAGTGGCGTATCTACGAGTGTGCGCGAGAACCTTGGGCTCCCAGTAACCCGTCCCCTGGAAATTTTTGAAGCAAAACAATTACGCTAAAGTAGTTAAAAATCACCATATCACCAACTTTACTGCCAGCAGCGCCCAACTTACCTAATCATCGAGCCCCCCCACTTCACATTCGCGCTCTCTCCCAACCCTCATCATCCTCCCCATCCCCCTATCACCCTCCCACCTCAATAGCTCTAGATACGCCACTGGCACACCTTTGTCTAAAATATCATTGTGGCTTTTAAGAAAACCAAGCTCTGCTTGCAGTTTTGCGCAAGAATAATTTTGCATTCCATAGACTGTAGTTTTGCTTTGCACTATTTTTTGCCACTTCAGCGCTTCATACCATGGTTCATTCACATTATAATCTGTGGTTCAGAGACGTGTACTTCTGTCAACCGTCAGTCCAAATGCCAATCAATCATTTAGCTAATCTATCAACAATATAATAAGCCATGGTTCTGTACTTTTCAAGTAAATTGATGACATATTTATTCATCAGCAAATGAGGAGCTGACTGGTTATTTGGGCAACATTTAAGCGCATAACACACGTAGGCCTATTATGGTCGGCCTACGCATACACTTTATACAATCTGTCTGCCTTGAGTTAAAACAATTTGATATTTGAATGGCGTATGTTGTAGTAGCTTTCATAATAAGGAAATATTTCTTTGCCAATTAACAGACACATAAATAATACCTTCCTATATTATTTGCACAGGCCCTTAAGAATTATTGTAGGCCTACTGTAAAGTCTGTATGAAATTAGAGAAAACTTTTCGTCTATTGTTTATTACTTGAGTGCAAAAGAGCGAAGAATATAAGATTGAATTTCCTCATATTTAACTATTTAAAAATTCAATTTTTGTATGAGTGAGTTTTCACTCGACAAAGATCTCTATAGATACTCTTTTCTAAAGTGGTATTTTCACTATTATCAATTAAATCAAATCAAATCTTTTATATATTTTATTTTACTTATCTTTTTTAAATTCTTTTATTTCGGAATCAAGATTGTCCATATTACGTACAAAATAATGTAGAAAATTGAACTAACAATAATATCACATTCAAGTAGGCTTCCTTTTTTCATCAATCTTTTACTTTAAAGCATTCCATCACGTTAACCCCTTGAGGACCACGCCACCGGACAGGCATGGATCACGACATCCGACGCCACGAAAACAGTGGCGTAACGCCTATGCACTCTCATGCGGCGGTCCGCAGGGCCCCCTAATTTTAGGGGCCCCGAAGGGGCCCTACCCATAGGTTCCTCGATCCAGCACCCTGACCGAAAAGGACTTTGTTGATAAATAACACCATAATGTGTCACTGAAATCGACTGTAGGGCATATATCATATTATAACGATTAAAGAGAGCGGGGGCCCGTCGGCACGACGGGGTCCCCCTTCTCGGCCCGGGACCCCACCAAATTTGTCAACAAAAAAATATAAAAATGGAGATAAAAAGAAATTATATACTAAATTTTAAGTCTATGAGTGCCATTTCCGGCCATCTAGACGTGCCATTATTTTCTTTTCTCTGCACCACAAGGGCAACAGCATAATGTGTGTCTGAAATAGACTGTAGGACATTTATTATATCCAGTGGCGGAATAAAGAGTGAGGGTGAGGGGGATTTGCCGGCCTGGAGCTGCCGGCTCGGGGCCCCACTAAATTTTAAAAATATTTTTTAACTGGAGATAAAAAAAAAATATATTCACAATTTTATGTCCGTGAAGTGCCATTTCCGGCCATCTAAAGGTGCCATATTCATACATTTTCTTATCTCAGCCCCAACCACGGTGGGTCTGAGGTGGTAAACTCAACTGTGAAAATCCCTCTCTGGCCTCAAATTTCTGGATCCATATTATCATTTATTCGTCGTTAAAAACATTTAGAATAACAATGCATATCTAAAATCCCACGATGGAATTGGTGACCGGAACCCAAAAAAGGGCCCCCAGTTTTAGAAATACACAGGGCCCCCGACCCCATCGTTACACAACTGCCACAAATCGTCTTATAATAATTTGCCAATCGCCGACTAAATAATGTAATGTTGTCTAAAGTTTTAGGCCAACGTAAACCATAAGGTTTATCCTCATGAGGCGCACCAGCAGGGATTTTAATCACTGGACCCAGTGCCTGAGGCGCTAGGCGGCATTGGCTCGGTCCCCTATCGGACTTGTTCTACCCCCTGTCGGCAAATTTCTGGAGCTATCACTGTTTTGGAATACACTTACATGGCCATAGACCTTTAATTATGTATTAGACACATTCGAACAGTACGTGCCAGCATGTTGAATTCCCTCGGTAGACAGTCGTAGACACGTTTCGTTAGACGTCTTGACATTCAGCTGACGATTGCTAATGCTGGTATTTTGTTTTTAACTCATGTAGAACATTGGCTTGAGTAATGCACTTTATACACAAACACCATGATCAGGTGATATCAAATAAAAAAAGACAACATGCCTGCATGAGACAATAAACCTATGAGAAGTGATATTTTCATAGAAGTTAAAAGGACAAGGTTTAGGTTAGGAAGGTACAGTAAATAATAAAATAATAAATAAATAGGTTTAATATACCGATGATAATATTACTTAAATCTGCAATTTCATAAAAAATCTAATAGGCCTTCATACAAATTTAAATTTGTATTTGATTAAAAAAAAACCAAACCAATACAAATAGTTTATTTCTCAATCTCTGATTGATCATAGCTTATTCGACGAAGTTATTGTCCATGTGGATGACCGGATGCTTGTGGTGCACTTTTCCTCTTCCTGATTGGTCAAACCTATATCCAGTATAACTATAATAGTGGGTGGATCCAGAATTTTACAAATATAAGGGGGAAGGGGAGTATTTACTTTTAGGCCTAATTATTGTATTCTATTTTTTCTTATTTCAATACATGGTATTGGTATGTATTGAAATTTAAAAAAATGTAGTGAAAAAACGGGATGGGGGAGGGGCGTTACTATCGTACTCAGCATTGGACCCTCCCCTAGAGAAATTCCCCATTAAAAACTTTCTTCCCTGGATGTTCGTAAAAAATTTTTCAAGAAAAACGTAGGCCTAGGTAGTCTCCGGTGATTTTTTCGAATTAATCGCTCAGTTGGTACTGGGAACTGCGAGGCTAGTCCAAGTTCCTGTCACAACAGAAACGTTGACATGATTTTTTATTTGTTTTCACCGAAGACCTTCTGGAAGCCACATCTACATAAAAGTACTTTTAAAAATTTAAAATTTATATTGCATAGATCACATGGATTCTGAAATCCGTAACGGCTCCCCTCCCCAACACCGTCTCCCAACCATCATGGATAGCTCAATATTGACCTAAGGACGTTCGAGAAAATTCATGGGTGAAAAATCCCTGGACAATACTTCAGTGGAAGAATATTAATAAAACTGAATTAAGGTAATCGAATGTCTACAAAATAGTATGCCAATTAGAATGTTTATATTTTTGCTCGTCCAGTACAGTAGGGCCTCCTATAATCTAAGGATTTGTATGAGTCACACAACTATCCAATCTCTTAATCCAATAAAGATGGATTTCTGTCACTAATGTAAATTTGAAACTTTTTCTGGGCAAAACTAATCTGACCTTTCAGTCCACCCGCAGAGGAATGTAATTTTCCTCACCTGGCGTCCAACAGTAACCAGTCCGACACGATTAAAATATTGCGGAGCAGATCGAAGGATAAAATAATTAATATTAGATTTGAATTCATAATTTCGATAATATTATGGCTATTAAATTATACTATGTTATATTATCAGTTTTTGTTTTAATGGCCCGATCTGTTAACTTAGCCCGTCCCTTAGTTATTGTTGAACGCGTCGACGACGTGTAAACAGGCGTGTTTATAAGACAAGAGCGTATCCTGGTCATGTCTTATCCTGAAATTTGCCTGTTAAGTTTGACTGACAATAGGTACATTGTATATTATAATTAAACAAGAATCAGGATTGAAATAAATTTTTTCATCATTGATACACCAGTCTTATTAGGACTATGCCATCTTGAACAACAAGAAATTGGCCCAAAATGTACGTCTTATTGTATTGTTATTATTTCTGTCTACGGAAAGTTCACGTCACGTAGTCTAGTATGATGACCGTAAACAACCCCAGTTGACTTTTGCCCAAAATAGTCCCATTGTAGGGTACCGTACGGCTGATGTTCAATTTCGATTTTGACATCGTTCATTTGAGTGAAACATATGCCCCATACTTCCTATCTATTATTAACAATATTTTAGTCAACATCATACTAATTACGGACCAGGTGTTTGGCCATTACTCGAGGGTCTCCTGGCAATGGTCATTGCCGTTTGTTGGCTATATTTAGCGTTTTCCACCACTACGGTGCTTCGTAAACAATTTCCCACGTAACTCTGAACTTTTTGGGCATTCAGAGTCGATATTTAATTCTAGCACTAGCTCTCCTTTTCTCTCCCTTGAGAAGTGTCTTCGCCAAAGGAAATACATAATAGCAACATAAAAGAAATACCTGACCCTCTTCCAAAAATGGTTCACCAACCACATGTCGGCATCGATCAAAACACTGATGACAGTTTCCAGTTAATACCTGTGTATTTTTACCAAGGAGTCCAGAATTATATGACAAATTCGGTTGTGTAGCAATAATGTGACTATTAATTTATATACAAACGTGTATATTCATCTTACATTTCTTGCGTTCTTATTTTTTGCCGATGTCAGGCTCAAAATGTTCTTATTTTGTTCTTAGTTTTACACACTTTCAAACATACAACATTATTATTGTACAGCCCAGCAGTATTTTTTAGTGTACTGTATTATAGAAGGTATTACATAGTCACAACTACTGCAAATAAGGTACAGATAAGTTTTGCTGGTTTTTTTTTTTTTTTGATATTTTTTTAAAATTTTGACCGTTTATCTTAGCCTCAATTTTATTTTTGTTAAAAAAAGTGTAAAGTATAATACCATCAATTTGGCAATGTATTGCAGTATAGACCTATATGTCAACAGAACAGGCCTACATATACTTGAATACTTGAATAATGATAACAATAACAATAGGCCCTAATAATAATAATAATAATAATAATAATAATAATGATAATAATAGTAATTGTTATTATTGTTTACTTGTAGATTCGTCTATAAAGGTAAAATAGATTGACTTTTAAATTGTTATATTGCGTTGATTAGGCTTATTGTTATTGCCATCAAACATTTGTTTTATTATTATTATTACGGTATTATTATTATTATTATTATTATTATTATTATTATTATTATTATTATTGTTGTTGAGGTCGTTAGTCTATAGCCTAATATTCTTACTGTTATTTTGATTGGGCATTTAACTTAATGAAGACTCAATACTCATTCATATGCAAGAAAAACGGATTAAAATTTCAATGGATTGTTCATGTAATTCATGTTATTATTATTGTCATATCATCATATATCATTATCATCACCACCACCACTACCACCACCACCACCATCATTCATCATTATCAACATCAACAGGAAACGCGCATGTGTCCTGCTAAATGTATGATTAGTCAAGTCAACTTTCTGATATTACTGTATATTGGACTTCATACAATAACTCCAGTAATGTGTTTTTACATTTTTAAGTAGAGTACCGTACCAATGTAAGCACAAGATATTTCTCCAAGTGCGCTCCCCACTAAGACGTGTAAATTTGTTTGAGTTAAGTAGCCTGCGAATTGTTAATTTACTTTGTCATAATACTGTGGATGTCAGTTTGTGCATGAAAGTATGTTAATGTAAAATTCAAACACACTGATGTACATGTCCAACTCCAGCAGGCGTGTCTCTTGGTGTGTTACCATCATCTGAACTGACATGTTGTTTTCTGAGTGCAATAGTTTATATAATAATCTTACTGGTTTTTTTTTTCTTCAATTTTTGTGACTCATCGCAAAAAGAACATCACAAAACATCAGACACAAGAAACAGATGCAGAAGGACATGTTCCACAGATTCGTGGTCCGAACTAAGGGAAAAGGCCCTGGACAAAAAGCATCAAATAACATAAAAAATACAGATAAACTCTCATATATAAACAAGTCCGAAACATGCATTTAAAAAACACACATATTGAAAGCTTTGATAGATACAGATTGTGGCTGTCATTAGTCTGCCTTAACCTAATTTCATACTTTGGTTGGTTAACAATTCTGTTTAATTATAAATGAAGCAAACCGTAAAACCTCGAACAGAAGCCATGTGGGCCTAACCTAATCTCTTGAGAAACATTGTTCCGAGGATATGGTTTTGGGGAGGTTCCTCTATATTGCAGCGTTTTGGAGGCTCCCCTAGAAGCTTCAGAGTTTATCAAATTTAATACTTATCTACATTTATTTCACATTTGGTTACATTTTTTAGGTAGCTGCCGCGGAAAGGATGTGGGGCGAGCTCCCCTTTCCGCAACACCTAGTACCGGTAGATCCGCCACTAATTATCTAAAACCACCTAGACCAACAAATAATATCTCTTGTTGACTGATTGATTGACATGATACACATTGAACGTGTTAATCATAGACGCACTTTTGCCCATCGGCCTGTCATAATATCCTTTCAACACGGACCGGAAAACACGTAATCCCGACTAAGCCCGAGTAACTCCGAATAATCCCGACACAAAATCTAAACCTAGCTTTAAATATAGGCCGGAGGAGGTCAGTAGACGCACTAATTTTAGACAGGTCATTAAAATAAAATACTAATATGAAGGCCTACTCATATTGCTTTGCTGGAAAACCAAGCTATTTTAAAATGTCTGGCTCAATTAAAATTCAAGGTAAAAGGACGTACCCATTGCGCTCATGCCGATTATTAAAGTTAACTCTTGTGACTGAATAACGTGTAGACTGAAATCAATTAGGTTAATTTCGAAATTAAAAAGATGTACTGTAATAGTATGTGAAATCAAAACATAGGTCTTGATAGATAAATATTGTTCATCAAATTCATTTTCCATAAAGAACAATCTGCCGTAACTCTGACTACTCGATTTCGTGCTACTTTGCATGCGCATAATAGGATACCGTACGTACGGTAAACATGCCGTAAACAGGATTTTATACTGGCATAAAAGGTACGAAGCCCGGAGCACATACACTTTAGTGGTTTGTGACCAATTTAATTAATTTCTAAGGAAATCTGAAAAACATTTTTACATACCAGTAAACAAGAAGAAATTTAAATTTTAAAAGTAAAATGTAAAAAAAGAATAAATAAGACCAACTAACTATTTTTATCCAACTGTGCCAAAGTGTAGGCTTATCCACTAGACTTCGTTAACCAATACTTGATAATTCCAGAAAGTTTATATTAATAATAACAGACCCCGTCTTGTGGTCTACAATGCGTATCATATTGATCTCTTGATATTCTCAATACATCGAGAACTAGCGTTGTTCCATGCATGTGCCAAAAAATGAAAAGTCAGTTGCTTCTAATCAGATATGAATTCTAAACGAAGCGTAAGTGGCCAAGGTGGTTAGGTAATGCATAGACAGCAAAAAATCCCAGGTTCGAATTCCAGTTCTAACAACTTTTTTTTACACTCTCAATTCCAATTCTTTAACGTTCAATATATTCATAAGTAAGAGGTTATTGTTGTACGTAGACTGTTATCTCTACAAAACGATAACTAAGTTCACTTTTTTTTGACAATCTTTGGCACTTGTAACCATTTTCAGTTTCATTTTTTAAAGCATAATAATCTGATATTTATAGCCCATATTTAGTACTTAAAAATTTCAAATCTTTGTGCCTACTGAGTTGGTGTTACACTAATGGTGCATTTTGTTATAATGTCTATAGTTTTTCTGATACGTGCCTAAATTAAAAAAAAAATACATTAAAGTTAAATAATTGGACAAAAACGATAGACAAAAATCAGATTAGTAATCTAAAAAAAGATGAATCACTGGAAACGAACAAATAACACATAATTCCTTTCAATTTCTTTTTCTTTATATCTCTGTTTCTTTTATTGCACATGATAAGGTTCACATCATGCCTGATTAGTATAAGTAAGTTCACCTATTATTTATAACACAAATTCCACATACACTTTACAGCACTAATATTAGAGGCAGTAGCGTAGCTACGAGTTCTGTATTCACATACGATAACTGATGAGGGGGGGGGGGAAAGGCATTTTAAGTGGGAAGGAGCACAAGCTTTCTTTTGGGGGGGTGGCATGCGCCCTCCCCTCAAGCTTCCTTGTAGATACGCCACTGCATATGGGACATTTCACCTTAAAACAAGCAATAACACAGATAAGGTAATTGTTTTCACTTTCAATTTATCCCACAAACATTCTCTATATCGTTGTGTGTCTGAAGATATTTTTATGAATCAAATACTGTTTAGATACCAGCTGATTCATTACAAATAATAATAATAAACATTACAACAATATCACAATATAATAATACTGTAATAAAACATAACTTCAACATGTTGTAAAGTATATTTGAGCAGCACCCAAAATTTCTAAAACACACACCCTGACTGGTTAATAACTATCACATTATTACAATACAACCAATTGGAAGGACTATCAAGGCAGCTAATTATTCTAGGAAATATTTTATATATATTCATGATAATCATTCATTTCCTACAGCATATAGCAACTAATTATTCATGCTTAAAGTTAATGATATACAGTCTGTGATATGGAAAATCCAATCCAATTAAAACATTGAATTGAAAGGGTCTGACAACATTTTCAACTTTGAATGCGAGACAAATAACAGCAGTAGATATACAGACAGCTTATATACTTCTGAACAACAAATCCTTTTGGTGTTTAAGCATCTTTAAATTGATGAAGAAAATAATTTCAATTATATTCTTCAACTGAAAGTTAACAACATATTTTAAAAGGCAAAATGTTTGCAGTAAAACCTGAAAAAAGGTCCTTAAAATATTAATTAAAACAATTAATCATTTAAAAAGTAAAATACCAACTTTCAATTAAAGCATATCAAATCAATTTAATTTTCACTAATTTCCGACTATATATATATGTATGTATATATATGTATGTATATATATATGTA